GCCGCCCCCCCCGCGGACGGTGCTCCGCGTGAAGGGAGAGTGGTTTGCTGGGGCGTCTTCCCTTGCTGCTTCTGGTCGCAGCAGCCTCCGTTGGAACGGATCCATCTTTCTGTGTTTCTGGTCACAATCCTGGGAAGGGCTTGCAGTTTGACTTGCTGACCCCGAAGGATATTTTCCATCATATTTTGGAAACTTGGAAGACTTTGTTGTGAAGTTTTTGGCAGAATGGTTTAAGCTTATTTTCCAAAGACTAGTTTCCCACTGCGATTTATTATAGGAAGCTATTAGTTGCAAGAAATTTCACTGCACAGGATTGCCTCTGAGCAAGGGGGGGAACTCCTGGTCCCTTCAGCCTCCACACAGTGCCTCTGCCACATCTCCGTGGCGCTTCTGATCAGCTCCTTGGCTTAATTTTCAGTTTTCCTTTTTCCTGAGTCTGAAAATCTGCAAACAATCCTGAAATGTCACAAACAGATAAGGCCAGCAGTCTGCGCAGATCCATGGAAGGGCAGTAGCAGCCAAAATATACAAGCAGGCAGAAGAAATGTCACTTGTTCCATTCTGTATCAAACCTCCTGGAGGGGGAACTCAATATACTGACCTAGCAAACAGCAAGGATCAGAGTCTGCCAGGCTTTAGCACCTCATCATTCTCTCCTGTGACAAGACTTCTGGGTTACGACGAGCACAACCTACTTCAGATGTTGTGAATTATACAGGCGAAACTTCATCTGATTCCTTTCGTAGCAGATATCTGTTCTCTACACATCTTTGCACTTTTATTACTGCCCAATCCCCAGTCAAGCTGATAGGTATTTCTACTCTGTATGGCACAGTATTGTCCTGGGTTCTCCAAAAGGTTCTTGGATGCCAGGATTATACAAATAAGTAATAATATGTATAAATAAGTAATAATTCCATCTGCCTCAGGTTAAAGGTGTTCTTTGGGGAAAGAAGTCTGCCTGGAAGAGAGAGGAGGTGGAGCTGAAACGCAAACCTTTTTCAGCAAGTTACAGGGTGTCAGTTTGTAGTGACTGCTGTCACCAGATAGATAGTTTGCTGAGGGTAGGGATGATGTTCCAGCCAGTAAGTTGTCAGCGCGCAAAGTAGCAAGTCTTCTGAAACTTCCAGGGTCTGCAGTTGTACCTGGCAATATGTGGGGTCACACCAGCTATGAAGAAAAGCAGCATAAAATGGAAGAGTCCTGCAGATTTATCAAGGGAGGAGGAGCCCTCAATATCCAGAGCCATTCTTACCCTCAGTTTGAATCAAAATAAGACCTGGGTCTCTGTCATAGCCTTGGCTACCTTCAAGTCAGAGTATGCTTCCTTCAGTTTTCATTATTTTCTGCTGCTTACACTTTAGTTACATGCCTTTCTCCTGGGATGAGACATCTTTTATTAAATTGTGAATAATACACTACTCAAGAGGCAGACTCTGATGACCCATCTGTGAAGTGAGATGGATGTGCCTTCTGTTTTGTGCCAGTCCCCTACAATTCACAGTGTACACAGGACTTTGTCTAGAAGTCAGTACGCATGGGCCATGAAATAGCCGCCCCTGACCATGCAGCACGTGACACAAGGAGGAGTCCAAGATTTTGGCCAACATCTGTGAAGGCTGTATATGATTTTGTCAACAGGAAAATTTCCTAGGAACAGCTTGCAGCTGAAGTGCCTAGAGGAAGATACACATGTTGGTGTGAGGGAGAAGAGAAGAGGCTCAGAGGCTGTGCTTAGGTGACTGATACAGTGGCAAGCAGGGGACAAGCGTCAGTGGTAGGTGCTGCCTTGAGCTGAGGGGATTTTGTAGAATTGCCTCACTATCCCACACAGAAAGGCAATTGAAGAGTGATAAACACGTGCCTTGGTTGTTTGTAAAGCAGCAGTAGTTATGTGGCACACAAAAACAAGCCTGATTTTCTGACAGCTTGCACGTAGTCCCCGCATGTGCGATGGCAATGTTAGGTGGTGCACCTGCTCCTCCAGAGGGATTTTGTCCTTGCCAGGTATTCACAGCTGAGTGTGCACAACCCTGTCCCTCCACACTCCCCCTGGTCATACCGTCTGTCGTAGGAGCAGTCACATCAAGCCAGGTTTCCGCAGGGGCACCTTGACTGGTTTCATGCTTTCCATCACAACCTTGTGAAGCAAGAAGATGGGAAAGGAGAAAAAGATAAAAGGGATCAAAAACTGGAGGAGCTGGTTGGAAACTGATGCAAATTTGTTCCAGGTGGCTGAAGCTTTGCCTGTCACAGGAGAGCTGGGGCAATGGAGTGAGAAACTATTATGGAAAGAAAGCAGTGAGGTGGCAGCCACCCTAACCTCAGTTTGCTGCAGTCACAAGTGGCAGCATCTGCTGGGAAGAATTCCTCTGGTTCTTACATTACAGACTCCTGCAGCCCTGAATACTTGTGTCTGTTTGTTGGCTTATTTAGCACCTCTATTCACCATTACATTGTTTGTACAGGCCTTTTATTTCATCACCTTGTTTGGATCTTTGATTTTTCAATGGTAAACATAGCTCTGTTTGTACAGCTGAAGCTATCTGTCCTCTCAACAAGGGTAGATTGCTGCTGCTTCCTTGCCCCATTGCAGATTACATCTGTGTGCTGGGACAGGCATCTTGCCACAGGGACCCACACAAGCTTGTGCTTAGAGACACGTGCGGTCCAGGGCAGCAGCAGCAGGCACAAGTTGTGGTTAATACAGCACCAGAAGAGCCTCTTTGGGAGGGAGGTTTCTTTGAGATAGGACTGCAGGGAGACCGGCAGCACCTTCATGAAAGGGAAATTCTGCTTATAGAATTGGAGAAGCCTCTTGCTTTGAACATCTTGCCCAGAACCTGGGAGACCACAGTCCCCAGCCTGGGCCTGTCTGGCAGGTGCTTGGGGGAGGAAGATGAGGCTAAGGAAAGAGGGGAAGAAAGAAGAAGATACATGGCTCCCAGGGAAGGTGAGGTTTGAGTCGCAGGAGGCAAAGGAAGAAAACCTTGAGGGAAGTAGGAGTGAAGCACTGTCTGTAAGAAGACAGGACCTTCACTGTTATACTCGTATTTTCCAGGTATGTTGCTGCTGGTCCTTGTGCAAACGCTTTCCTTGTCTTTTTTTCTTTCCATTTGTGAGCTGCATCCCATGCTTGAAGAAGTAATGGACTGTGTAACAGTGACAGAGAGGGCCCCATCCCACTGCACCTACTGCACATAAGGACCCTCATGTGCCTCATGCCTCGCACAACTTGGAGAAGATGTAATGGGATGCCATGTGATGGGTGGTATGGGGCATGCTGTCATCCAGCCTGTCCCTCAGCACTCCCGTAATCTCTGTTCTGCAGGAGTGCAAGGCCCAGCTGAAATCCCCATCTGGATTTTGGCTGGAGATCAATCAGAAAGGCTTATAGAGATGCTGTGGTGCAGATGGATGCCCTGACACCATCAGTAGCCACATCCTCAGGGAGGAGAATCAGCTCACCCGGCTGTAGGGAGAAACACCAGAGTTCTGGAAAACACCAGCAAAACCTACTCAGCTGGGAAAACTCAACATGGTGACTGTGAGTCATCACCTAAAGTCTGTTTGTCCCTGCAGTACCAGAAAATTTCTCTTCTGAACAGTGTGTCTGTAAGTCAGCTACATCTGACTTACATCTCATCCAACGTTTTCCGGCAGTTGGGAAATCCAACCCAGGCAAAACAAGCCTCACGGTGGCTGGTAGCATGGACCAGGCAGAGACAGAGGATTTGGAAGACAGGTCTGTGCTTGACCGAGCTGACCACAGCGTTGCCCAGCATGAAGCAAGTGCCCACCAGCCACGAGGAGCCCAGAGCCAGCAGGCTCCGTGGGCAAGGATGGCCCCTAGGGCTCAGGAGCAGTGGAGGAGGTAGCGTGCAACAGTGAGGCCGTGTAACCTCCTGTGCCCTGGGATAATGCATATGGGTGAGTAAATAGCACTCTTCATAAGCTCCCAGGCTTCTCTAATGAGAAGAGATTTGGGTCCATTAGCAACTATTCCTAAAGACCTACTAAAGATCTGCTGCAGCCAATGCCCGTCCCCACAGGGCTGGCTACTTTGACTCCAGTACGCTCACTCTTCATCAAACCTTGCATTTTGTCTAACTTGACAGGGCATTGTGTCTTACATTTCTTCATGTTACGTCAGTCAAATTCTCCCTCTGCACAAACACTATGTTTAAATGGCAGTTTTCCTTCTGTTCCTGCTACCATCAGCCTTCTGATTTATCGTACTGGGAAATACATATTTTTTGTGATACGCAGATTGTGAGTCTTGGCACAGTGCCTGAAGAAACCTAGGATGGGGGAGGGAGAATGTAGAGGGGAAATGTGATTTATAAAGAATTTTCACAGTAACAGAAGTGGTGCCAGGGAACTTTTCTCTCTTGTGCAATAGGCATCGGCATGCAAAAAGAGCCACTGCAACAGAAAACAGAACCAGCTGTGGAACATGTTCTAGGAAGGACTTTTCCTACTTAATCAGCTCCATTCATGGCAGATATGAAGTGGAGCTAAGAATTGTATAAAACCCCAAACTTCTGCTGATTTGTGTTCCCTTCTCTTTCCTCTTTCCCATAAAGAGCTGTAACTTTTAAGGTGAGTGGCAAATGTTATTAATTTTAACTAGAGAACACTGTTCTGAGTCACATTTCAAACACTGCTGGTCACAGCAGCCTGAAACAAATTAAAAAAAAAAATAAAAAATTAAGCAGCCCATGCTTACAAGGCTGGGGTGGAAACAAACGTGAAACCTGATTGTTACCATACAGTTCAGCTCTTTATTCTTGCAAACAGATCAAATTCTAGTCACAATGAGTACTTGTCCCTTTTTTCTTAACTGAATTTATTATTGTCCTATCCATTCCTCCATCCCATACTCTAATCTCCCCCAACCCTCTTTTTTAATTAGTGCTCTTTCTCACAATTTAAAAGCTTAAGTAGTGATTCAGGGAATCGCTACAAACAGCTTGTAAATTATTTTATGAAATCTCTTATACAATAGTTTTCAGATCTTAATGAGGTCACTCAGCTTTTTGATGCAGAACTGCCTTACGCATTTTCTGGACTAAGGACAAGGGACATTATTAATTGATGACTGCTGTAATGTAATCTCATTCAAACAGGTGGTGGGTGGACTGAAACTACAGTATTTTTCCAGCTTTTTTTGGAAAGAGCTGAGATTTTCCACAACAGCAAAGATAGTGGTAATGCTGTTATATCATACAGCTCAAAATAATTGGAATAGTGACAATAAGACATTGCTTCTTGCCTATGGGACAAGGGAAGGGAAATATTTTTGACTGCAGGAGAAAGCACAACCTGAAGAAGATGGAGAAAGTAAAGACTGCTTGATTGTGAAGAAAAAGCCAGCATGAGGGAGTGGCACGTGAGAGGTTACCTGCAACTCCTTCTGCCAGAACAGGCACTGACCTAATTCCCAAGGAAACAATGCAGAGATTTCCACAATTGTTTTGGTCTGGATCCAGGTACATCTTGTGTTGTCCTAATAACAACTGTATTAGGACCACTTACAAAAGCTTTGCCTGTTTGCTATATTATTGCAGTCTTCCCAACACCCATCTTAGAGCTGAGGTACTGCTGTCCCATTGCTTAAGCTACACAGCTGCTTCAGTACAGTCTCCTAGTAGGAGCGCTCAGCTTATGATTTATGCCTGCAGGGACAGCTAGCACAAGCAGTGTATATAAAGCATCTTAGCCACAGGGAATGCTTGGACTATATTCAATTTTCAAACCAAAAAGAAAAATCCAGTGTCTCACAACCCAAAGCAGCAGATAAACATCTACCAGTTGGATTATCAGGACTGTAAATTAGCATCCCTCACCTTGTGCTTTTCATCTAGTTTAAAAACAACGTTATTCATGTGACCACAACAGGCAAGAATCTCATATCAATTTTTATTATTATAAATACTATGTTAGAACAGAAAGGATGGTGCCATGCATCCACTCCATTCTGCTGCTATTTTGCATCTTCTTTCTTGGCTCCTGCTTCTATTTTCAGGGGTTCTGGAGCTGCACGATAGGCAGGAAATGCCTCCCAAGGACTATTCAAATCAAACTTGCGAAATTCCTGAGATAGCTCCACAGGCTCTGCCACTACCCGTTTCACTTCATCATCATACCGCACCTAGAACAGTGCAAAGAACACAGGCCAGTCATTTTTATACAGTCCCCATAGCATCTCTGCTATTAGCTATACACAGTAATGACCCAGACCACCCTCCGGTACAGGCAATCCTACTTCTTACGGCACAGATAGGCCCCAGGCCTCTGCCACAGCTTCAGTTCTCAAGACCTCTGGACTCTCCAGGAAAACCCTCCTCTTTGCTAGCACCTACCTCTGGTGTCCTGACTAACCACGCTGAATTAGGAGCACCCAGCCTGCAGTCCATATGAAGTCCACACGGAATAACAGATTTAGTTTGTTATATGACAAAGGAATTTCTCCTGAGTCACTGAAATAAGGTGGCCTGTCCACCTGGCATAGCTGGGGACTACTCTCATAATCTTTGTTAATATGGCAGTTTGGTTTTAGTTGTGCTTCTTAGCATAACATTTGGAATGTGGGACAAAAAGACAAACAGGGTGAAATGCAGGTGAGTACCAGACACTTCTGACTGGCTTGATTTATCCTCACTGTGCCAGTTGAGATCTCCAAACGACAGCTCAGGAGATGCTGCCTGGTCCTCACCACAGGATTTGCTGTTATTTCTGGTTTTCTTTAATCCCTCTGTTCCCTGCAGAACCTCACTGTTTTCTCCTGAGACTCAACTCAGTCTTAGAACAGCACCAAATGTGACTGCTTCTGCAAGGCAGTCATCTGAAACTAGACCGATACCAAACACACTCATTTCACTTGTGGTTTGACACAGACATATTTGATAAATGGCAAGAGTCTGGGCCTACAAAAACTCAAGGAAGTGGAGTTCCAACTGCATTGAGATCAGTTCAGTCCTTTATTCCTCTGGGAATCTCCAGTTTTGCAGTGCAAAGTTTAATCTTCCAGAAGACATGCTAAAAGCAGAAGCACTTTCTCTGCTTGACAAATTTCTTCAGTATACAGCACATGAAATTTGCTCAATGTCTCTGGCCTTAGGCTGTCTTGTTACACATGGTACTTTGTGATGACTTCAAATTTCCATGCAGAAGATCTATACAACTCCTCTGGAGTAAAGACAAGTGAAAAATCCTTAGCGCCTTTCAGACAAAGGATCGTAAAGCAGTGACATCTCTGTATTGAATCTCAAGATCATAGAAGCATTTGGGTTGGAAGGGACCTTTAAAGGTCGTCCAGTCCAACACCCCTCCAATGATCAGGGACATCTTCAACTTGATCAGGTGGCTCAGAGCCCTGTCCAACCTGACCTTCAATGTTTCCAGGGATGGGGCATCTACAGTCTCTCTGGGAACTTGTTTCAGTGTTTCACCACCCTCATAAAAAATTTCTTCCTTATATCCAGTCTAAATCTACCCTCTTTTAGTTTAAAATCATTACCCCTTGTCCTATCACAACAGGCCCTCCTAAAAACCCTGTCCCCATCTGTCTTACAAGCCACCTTAAAAGTACTGAAAGACTCCCCACAGCCTTCTCTTCTCCAGGCTTGTTCAGCCCCTACTCTCTCAGCCTATCCTCACAGGAGAGGTGCTCCACTCCTCTGATCATTTTTGTGGCTCTCCTCTGGACCTGCTCCAACAGGCCAGTGTCTTTCCCATGCTGTGGACTCCAGGGCTGGATGCAGGACTCCAAGTAGGGTCTCATCAGAGCGGAGTAGAGAGGCAGAATCACCTCCCTCGACCTGCTGGCCACACTGCTTTTGATGCAGCCCAGGACATGGTTGGCCGCCTGGGCTGCGAGTGCACATTGCTGGCTCATGTCCAGCTTTTCATTCACCAGTACCCTCAAATCCTCGGAAGGGCTGCTCTCAATCCCTTCATCCCCCAGCCTGTATTGACACCAGGGGTTGCCCCAACCCAGGTGCAGGACCCTGCACTTGGCCTTGTTGAACCTCATGAAGTTCACATGGGCCCACTTCTCAAGCTTGCCCAGGTCCCTCTGGATGGCATCCCATCCCTCAGGCATGTCAACCACACCACTCAGCTTGGTGTCATCTGCAAACTTGCTGAGGGTGCACTCAATCCCACTGTCTGCATTGTTGCTATTAAGATATTGAGCAGTACTGGTCCCAGTACAGACCCCTAGGAGACACCACCTGCCACTGATCTCCACCTGGACATTGAACCATTAAGAGATAAGAGTATTGGATATATTTGATAACTTCAGGCATGAGCATATCTCCTACCTCCACATAACCAGAGAGTGGAAAGTCCTTCCGGAAAGGATGGCCCTCAAACCCATAGTCTGTGAGGATTCGCCTTAGATCAGGGTGGTTGGCAAAGAAAACACCATACATGTCCCAAACCTAAATGAAAGGGAGCCAAGTAAGTTGAATTAGATTAGAAAAAAAAAACAAACCAACAACCTTTATGTATTATGTCCACAAAACTTCAGTTACATTCCTGGCTTTGTACAGTGCCAACAAAACTGACGAAGGAACTCATTCAAAAGCAAATCAAACACCCTTTTATCTCCTATTCTGAAAAGGCAGCCAGGGAAACGCTTCTCTCTTTCTTCCTCAGGGCCCTGGGAATCAGTTTAATCAGGAAAACACAGCCCTTCTCCACAAAGCTGCCAAGTATGCTGGCACTCACCTCTCTTTCATACCAGTTTGCTGCCTTGTGCACAGACACTGCTGAGTCAACAGGTGTCAGCTCATCAGTGTATGTCTTCACGCGGATCCGACTGTTGAACCGCAGAGACAGGAGATTGTACACAATCTGAAGCAGAATAAAAGGCGTCATTGGTCTTGTTCGGCATTTACGGATCTCTTTGCAGTACAGTACTGGCTAAGCAAAGACACAGGAAGACTATTTCAAATATTCTTTATCAGCAGAATACCATTCAGCACTTCAGAGCTGGGTACTATTACAACTGAGGTTCCAATAGCTTACCACTTTGATCCTTAGAAGTGTAACAAAAAGGATGTGAGATTTAGAAAACATGACTGATGAAATAGAGACGGATACTAAATCTTAAAAAAGAAAAAAGAGAATACTGAAGGGATGGAGACACTTGAACATAGTCTTTCAATAGTCTGTCACAAAGAAAATGGCTATCAATTACTCTCAGCATCCAGTGGAAGAAAGCGAAGAAGAAATACACTTAATTTTCAGAAAGAAGTTGGATACCAGGGAAAATTTCTAACTCTTCTGGTGATGAAGTACTAATAAAAAGGCTGCTTATGAGGATTTCTAGGACCTCCAGGACAGGGGGAATACTTACTGCAAGCAAACTGAAAGAAACCCAAAACCTCTGCAAGAAATTGTGTAGTTGCTTGTTTGATGCTGCCTCTGTGAAGATGGCTGGAAAAGGAGAATTCATTAAGGTCTGTATTTCTATTATTTCAATGAATCTACGACCCCAATTTTTAAAAGAGAAATCCTGAATTAAAAAGTCTTCAACTTCTTCAGAGACTGGAGGCCTTTGAGGTAAAGAAACGCTCTCTACAACTCTCAGGACTTCTGCCTAATCATGAGTTACTGAAAGTCAAAGCTGTTATTAGCAAAGCAAAAAGGAGCTACATTTGAAAACAACAGAAATCTGATTAGCTAATACAGATAAGGCAAACCCGCCACGCCTTGCCTTCTGAGGAGCTGTTGGTAAGTGATTTAATACCACAAGATGAACCAAAGAAGGGAAATAAATCAGCTACTTTTCATTATCCTTGTTGCTTGATGGGAACTAACAATCTACCAATTCACTTCTCTTGTCCGGAAGACAGTCTGCCTAGATTAGACAAGAAAAGACAGACATCTCTTCATCCATAAGGCTGCCCGAGCCACAGTCTCCCACAGCATGTGAGCCCTAGGGATTTTCTGCTGCTGTTTTTTATAGGTTAAACTAGAGTAATGTCTTTGCAACAATACTGTGAACAAAGATTTCTAACAGTAGGTGAGAAGACAACATGCTGAGTCTGTGGTTTCCCCAGAGATGTACCTTTTCTTTTTCTGTTTGCAGCTGCAATTTTTCTGCAGCTGAAAAGCTATATGGCAAGATTTTCAAAAGCATCTGTGGAAACCCAGTCTCCAACATCCACTGAAAATCAGTAGAAATTCCGTGTCCCAAATCTTCCAAGAGCTTTCTGAAAATCTGCCTCATCTTCTATTTGGTCCCAACTGTCAGAGAATGTTTTTAAAACAACTAAATAGTTGTTCTGTTTTGTTTTTTAAAAAGAGGAAAATTGTTAAGAAGATGGGATCTAAAGAAAAACATGACCAGTTGTGTCAACAGCAGCTGACAGGCCTAAGTGGAAGGAGGAAAAGCACCAACTCTCATCCAGCCAGAAAGAAGTCTCTAGACACTTTGGTAAAAGCAAAACACACAAAAAAAAATAAAATAAAAGAGAGAGACTTT